TAAGACCCTGTTATTAAATTATTTTAAAAGGTCACCAGGTGATTCTAACATGCAGCCATGATGAGAGCCACTGAGTTAAACTATAAAACTAATTTTTTTTTTAAAGCTAATTTTTAAAAGTAGCCTTTGTACCAAAGATTACTACAAATCTGAGTTGTACACGACTGAAGCGACTTAGCAGCAGCAGCATTTCTCTTCAAATCACTTAAGACTTTAAAAAAAGAAAAGTTGAAAATTAGTTCTCACTTGTTATCCTAGGATAAAAACAGTTGAGCTATGCTTTATTCTGGAACAACAACAACAAAAATTATCATAGGAGGCTTTCTACTGGCATCATGATTTGGATAAGATTCCCTCCAAGGGAAAAAAGTAGGAATACTGTTAATGGTGAAGCTGTTTCTGCCACTAGCAACACTTTTAACCTGTTTTCTGACCAGGTGCTCTAGTCAGCAATCTCTTCGCTATGCAGCAGAAGTGAGGCAGAACAAACTCAAATCATTCTGAACTCTGGTCAGACAGCTGTTCGCTGTTGGCTAACTGGCCGTTTGAAACTCGTAATAAAACCTACACCACCTTAGCAACGAATTTTCCTTTTTAAATTGTTTTTACATTTGTGTGTGTTGGCTAGTGAAATGGTGTCTCTGCAAGTGAGTCTGAAAAAGAAATAAAACACACACACAGTACAGGGAGCTGAAAAAAAGAGGGTCAACACGAATCATCAGAAATGACCAGATGCACATGTTCGCTGGCCACATACCATCATCACTTTCCATCCAACCAGTTTGTTATCACTGTAGTTGTATGTTTATCTACAAGCATCTTGTTTGTGCTCACAATTTCTAGAGATTTAGAAAAGTAGATTTCCTAGCAATAGCAGTTCTCCCCTTCTAAGTGTAGTTTTATTTTTTAAGCCAACAAATCATTCATTAATTTTATCATTCCATACACCATATTCTGGGCTTCCCTGGTGGCTCAGCAGTAAAGAATCCCAACTGCAATGAAGGAGACAAAGGTTCGATCCCTGGGTTGGGAAGATCCCCTGGAGAAGGAAATGGCAAGCCACTCCAGCATTCTTGCTTGGGAGATCCCAGGGAGAGAGGAGCCTGGCAGGCTACAGTCCATGGGGTCAAAAAGAGTTGGACATGACTTAGCAACTAAACACCACCATCACCATGTTCTAAGACTTAAAACATACAAGAAAACTAGGATGCTTCCAAAGAAACCTGAAGATTAAGACTCCTATCTTCAAACCATAGGCTGGCTACTTATTTGAACCAGGGCTTATCTTAATGCTAGTAGCTTATTAATATTCTATAATCCTTCATCTTGAATTTAGTATTAGCCAAGTTAAATATTCTCTCTCCCAAAGCAATTCTCTTACCCCACTACACGTGAAAACCTTCATAGATGTCGCCACTAGAAGGGTACTGTTATATTCTGAGACACCTGCCCCCACCAGAAGAGAATGCAAACCTAGTTTAAAAATGTAAAGTATTCTAAACCAAATGGTTTTTACATTTTAGATTTTCCTTTCTTTTCATCTGCCTTCTCCACATTCAATTCTAGAGGGTACCTTTCCTTTTCTTTCTTTAATAACAAAAGGCTAACACCTCTCCCTTTTACTGGGCTATTCAAACACAAAATGAGTTTTGATTGCACACAGGGAAAGTGCATTCCCTCCAAGGATATAATATCCAAGCAAAGGAGTATCCATCCCTCTTCCTGCCCGGTGGGGTAGGGGAGGAGAGAAAGGAGAGCAGAGAAAGGAGAGAAAGAATTAAGTTGTATTCTTAGGAGATAAACTAATACAACAAGCAATTTCCTCACCTACAGTCTAGGCAAGAAATAACCCTACAATGGGGATGAATCCAGCTGTTTCGGCTGAAGCCCACAATCACCATAACTGGAAACCTGGGTGAAGCAGAGCTCTTTACCTCCAAGGCAGCAGAGCGGTAGGTATGAGGACCGAAACGAGGAGAACCCTCCGGGGTCTTCAGGGGCTGCTGCAGCCACTGGCACCCAACCTGCTCTCGCCCCTGTCTACATTCTTTCTTATCTGGAGCCAAAGTGAAGCTCCTGCTGCTGGGGCCAGGGTCTTCCTCCTTCACAGGGTCACCGTGCTCTAGGGCAGGCAGCCCCTCTTCCCATTCTGGAGGCTTCCAGTGACCCTGTGCATAGCAGGGGGAGAATTAGCTGCTTCTGCTTCTACCCTGTATCTGGTTCCCTAGAGGCTGAGTGGGACCAGGGAAGGGGCAGAGGTCTCTCTACATTCCTCTCCTCTCTTTCATGAAACCCTCAGGAGATGTCAGGCAGCCAGCTCTCTTCCAAGCCCTCATCCCTTCTCTGACTCCTGACAAATCTCCTTCCACTCACCCACAGATCTCATCTCTTCTCCCCAGGTACTGCAGTTCCATGAATACCCATGAGACTAATCTGTTGAACAGTAGATTATACATTCTCCTAGAGTAAATTCTTTTTAATTTCCACTTTATTGGGGGTATAATTGACAAATAAAATTGTAAGCTATTTAAAGTGTACATTGTGGTGATTTATATATGAATACATTGTGAAACGATTCCCCTCATCTGGTTAATACTTTATATATATAAATATATATATTTTTATATATGTATTAGTATTGGTGAGCATATCTATACATAAGTAATATATATGTATATATACAGGTTATATATATATATACATTGGTGAAAATATTTAAGTTCTGCTCTTTTAGCAATTTCAATTATAAAATACAATGTTAACTACATTCACCATGTTTTACATTCGATTCTCAGACCTTATTTACCTTGTAGCTATATGTTTGCTCTTAGGGTAGATTTGATATTTTATGCCTAATTCCCACAGCCTTGGGACTGGAAATTTGTACATGAGAATCAATCAAGACTTGGAGAATGAATGCATCCATGCATAAGTAAAGCAATGAATATAGCTGACCAAAGTTCATATTTCTGTTATCCCAAGGTTGACTGAAAAAGTTCTTTATCTTCTATTTTTCATTACAAGTTAACTCCTATTTCAAATAGTTACCAAGATCCCTACCATTTTCTTTGAAGAAAATCCAAAGTGAGGATTTCAGTCAGTTTGCTCTGCAAATAATTTTGCTTTAGAGTTTAAACCTTCAAATTGGGAAGAACCTTTTCAATCTCCTTTAATATGGAGAGTGGGAATGGGAAGGTGAGAAAAAAAAAGTGTGGGAAATACTCGAACAAACAAGAGGATCCAGTACCTCCACAGGTGAAGCCAGTCAAGTACATGAAACCACTTTTGCCTCTCAGAGAGGCAACAAACCTGACTTAAATGACTGAAAGTTCTGGCAATGGGGCAACTAAGCCCAATCGCCACAACAACTGAGGTCAGCATGCTCTAGGGTTGTTGAACTTGTGACTACTGAGCCCACGTGCCTAGAGCCCGTGCACCCTCCATAACCTGAGCAAGCCCGCTCATAGCACCGAAGACCCAGCATAGCCAAAAGTAAATAAATGAATAAATATTTTTAAAAAATCAAGCAATCCAGAGTAATCTGCAAATATAATTTTTCCTAACAGAGAAAACTATTAAAACTAGAATCTTTTCCCCACATGTCCAACTTCATAAAAATCTTTATGTGGACTGCCATGCACTGATCTCTGTAAGGCAAAAATCAGCCAAAACAAGAAGGATTAAAAACATCCTCAGTCCAAGTGCAGAGGACCCCACTGCAGACTGAACCGAATAAATCTTGTAGGATACTACATGTACGGAGACCAGTGCACGTTCCATCACTGATGATGCTGCCTGCCAATAATGTGCTGACGGCTGCCAGCTAAGATCTGATGTCAGTGCTGCTCCTGCTTATCACACAACACTAGGCAAAGAATATAACCTTTCCACCCTCAGTCTGTCATCTGCTACGTGTAGATAATAAATGAGTGTTCATGTGAATTCATTGTTTTCAAGTCCTAGGGAAGTGAGTTATTAGTGAGTCACAGTAACTGACTTCATGCCATTTCAGACTCTTCATCAGTGCTGAATGAAGTGCAACCAGATGAATCAACATAATGGTTGAATGATGTCTTAAACAAATGATCACCTTCATTGTGCCATGAAGGTGAAGTAAAGACAGTTTAAAGCAGACAGTTCTATGCTGGTATACTTGATAGGCATAACTTTGAGAGAGAGTTTCCATTGATGAAACTTTACCAATACTTATAGAATATCTACTATGCACAATAAGCATTCTGGAATAGACAGAACCCAGATTTTATGATTGAGGTTTGTAAAACCTAGTTTGAACTATGGCTTGCAAAGGCAGTTATCATACTGAAAGCGGTATGTAGTCAACTTAAGTCATTCTCTAACTTCAGCCTGAGTCTGTGGGTAATTTGCAATAACTAGAAAAGTATGCTGGGGATCAGATGTTCAGTGGCTAAGTCACATCCAACTCTTTGCGACCTCATGGACTGTAGCATCCCAGGCTCCAGATGAGATCAATACAGTTTACAATACCTCATGAAATGTAGTGAGATAGTTCTAAGTTTGAGATGATCTGGCTGACTCTCTAGGATTTATAACACTTCTTTGTCTTAACGTTATCAATAGCCAGGATATGTTAGGTCTTTGTATGTGGGGAATAAAGGTCAGGTGGCAGCACCAATACCAGCTGTCACAGGGAAAAGACCATAAAAAAATGTGAAAACCCCACAAAAACAATCACATTCCTTAGTGAAGGAGACTTACTTAAGGTTCCAGGGTACAGCATTTATCTACTTCGATAGATATGCTTTGAGGGGAGATTATTACACATACACATATACCAGACTATTTAAACATACACTCATAGCAAGTCACTTATTTGCCTTCTCAAGCTATTTGGCTGAGTTAGGCCAAACAGATAAAGATAAAATAATTGGCACTATCTCAACTGTGCTGAAGAGCCAAATTTACTCTAAAAGCTTTCACCTGAATCACCAAAGGCTGTAGAAAGACAAATACCTACGTACATTGGAATCACTAAAGATTTCTGAGTCTTCACATTCACAGCAAAGTAACGCTGCGGATTCACTGTCTTCCAGGTGAGAGCTCTGTAACACAAACGAAATTATTTCAGAGATCCAGATACTGGGGCCATAAGCATGAGGAGAAAGACCAGCAGAAATCACTGTGTTGTTGTTAGCTCTTGGTGAGAAGCTAATTCTGATTAGTAATGGCTGTTTTGGAGAGAAAAGCCAACAAGGTGATTGGTTAGGAAAAGTGAGGCGTGTTGGATTAGCTGAAGCATTTTCTGTGGTTTCCAACTGGGCCATGGGATGTCCTTTTTCTGTAAAGATGTTGCTACTAACCCTTTGGAGTATGTAGCCTGGACTTCTTCCAGAACTGGGTAGGTTTGTGTTCACTTGTCCTCACATTCAAAGGTATATATTTGATGACTGTTTAGAGACAGGCTTTCGAATGTAACAGAGCACACGATTAGGGGTTAGAACCACTAGCCTAGCCAGCCTCATTAGCCCTCTGCTAACAAGTGTTTATAAGGAGAGCCAAAAGACATGCCCTACCCAAGTCCTACTGACAGATGCCAGAAAACAATTTAAAACCTTTCTTCCACTCTCCAATCTCTTTTTCAAAATCTGTCTAGAAGACAGATAAGAAAAATGAGACAAAGGGGTGAAACAAATAGCTGGTAACACAAGAGAATTTTTCCCTTATGGCTAAAAGGAGCACACACACACAAAAAGCTCCAATTATGACTCATTTAAGTTCCTTCTACTATTTGCTGTTTGGGTAATAGCTGCTGGAAACTTGAGTTATCCCTACAAAGAGACGTATACACTTACGTCATTAAAACTTCACACTACTATATGATGTACCAATCTCACTTCCGGGTACAAATCCGAAAGAATAGAAATCAGCGTTTTGAAGAGATATCTGCATCTTATTTTAAATGTTCTTACCACAAAACAAACAACAAAACCCCTAGGAGCCTAAGGAAACTTTTGGAGTTAATAGATATTTTTATTACCTTGATTATACAATGATGGTTTTCATGGATGTATGCACATGTCCAAACTCATCAAATTGGATATGTTAACTATGTCGAGTTTTTTATCAATCAGATCTTAGTAAGTCTATTAAAAAAATTGTGACTATCTGTGGCTGAAACTTAATCACACACAACTACTTTATGGCTGTCATGGTTGACTGATATTTTGTATTTTCAAAGATGAGACCGTGTTTCGACTCGTAGAATACCTGCAGAAATGAGTTTTAGAGTGCAGATAAACAGAGTAAAGTTCAGAGTTCCTACTTCTGGTATCTGCCTTCTCCTGGTTTATTTCCTTCTTATCTTTTCCTACCCTGATCCTTTGCCTACTTTTGATTTTTGTCCTTACAACCAAGTCTCATATTCCATTTCTCCTCTCTCTTCCTCTTTCAGAAAGTAAACAATTAAATATTTAAAATCATTTTTAGGTCTTGCAAATGCAAAGTCTCTTTATTTCTTATTCCCTTGCATTTTGGAGGAGGAAAAAAGAAGAATATTTATTCTCCTTTGTCTTAAAAAAAAAAATCAGTCTACAAAGTATGTGACTACTTCTGAAAGTCATATTAGAAAAGCTAAAGCATTAATAAATAACAAACAAAATATCTGAAGGAAAAAGGCAGAGATCAAAGCTGCTTTCAATTCTCCCAAATTCCTTATATCACAACAGATATAACAGAGATGATATCAAGCATATCAAACATGGTTTGTCTCTGCCAGGAGAGAAAAGTACACATTAATTAATCCTAATTACACTAGTTGATGATTTTTAGGTTTTCATTCTTGTATATACTGCAGCATGGTTACATGAGCTCTTCCAAAATGACCTTTCAAGAAAAGATTCTTTTATATAAAATGGACTATTGGCCATAAAAAAATTGAACTTCTGCCATTTGTAACTACATGGATAGACCTGGAGTGTATTATGTTTAGTAAAATAAGTCAGACAGAAAGACAAATATTGCATATAACAAAACAGAAACAGACTCACAGATATAGAAAGCAAACTAGAAGATACCAGTAGAGAGAGGGAGGGGAGGGGCCAGATAGGAGTATGGGGTTAAGAGATACAAACTACCACGTAGAAAGCAGATAAGCAACAAGGATATACTGTACAGCACAGGGAAGTATAGTCAGCACTGTGTAATAACTTTAAAGGAGTATGAGCTATAGAAATACTGAATCACTATGCTGTACATCTGACACTAATATTGTAAATCAAATAAATTTCTATATTAAAAAAGTAACAGGTCCTATAATGACATCTGCATTCCTAAAGTTATTTTAAGACTTTCCTACCTACTTATTAATCGAAATTCAATTAACTGCTTATGACTATTGATAGGAGAAACTCCTACATATTGAGGAATGTGGAAGTCATTCTGGCTTGTACATGATTTAACTGGAATTTTATGCTAACTAAAACAGCGTGTTCGTGGCCTATCAAACATACATTGTACATCTGTTTTAACCATTAAAAAAAAATAAGGTGCACTGACCAGAAGTACAGAATGTCCATGTTAAAGATTAAATGCCTTCCTTCCAATGCTGGTACTCCCTTGATGATAAGAGTTCCTTCCCAGGAGCCAAGGCCATATTGACTGGCTGTGTACATGCTGATTTGTTTTTGTTTTTTTTTTAATCTTGAAGACATGTGTCTCTGACTTGTCTGATGTTCTTTGTTCTGACAAGGTATAAACCTATGCTGAAACCCATGCTCCTCTGGAGTGGTTCCTCACAGTTCTCTGTGAGGCTGTCTTTTGGGCTATAGCCCTCAGTTTGGCTGAAATCAAACTTTTTTATTCCTATTACAGACTATTTATTGATTATTTCCACTGACAATATAAAGGGTTTATTCTAAGAATGAATGTTTAGGAACTCTATTCATATAATTTAGCATATAATGAAGAAAAATAAGAAAAAAATATGATTAAATAGTAAAAGACATTTGATAAAATTAAAGGTCATTTTTGGCTTCAAACATTTTTAGTAAGCTAGGAACAAAAGATGTTTCCTTAAACTCAGTCCCCAGGTGAGTTTAGTTTACATCTAGTACTTCTCAGGTGGGCAGGCCCTCGCGTGTGCGTGTTCAGTCACCCAGTCGTGTCCGACTATTTGTGACATCATGGACTATAGCTTGCCACCTTCCTCTGTCCATGCGATTCTCCAGGCAAGAATACTGGAGTGGGTTGCCATTTCCTACCCCAGGGGGTAGGCCCTTGCCTCAACCTAAAAGTAGGCCCTAATAGGTGATCTTGCCTGAATTTCATGTTGTAGAAAGTCCTCCAGTGTTTCTTCTGACATGATGACAGTGGCTGTGCCAAGTTTGCAGTGCAGGTATCAATTTTTTTTTTTCCTTCTTTTTCATCTTTCCTTCCTATCTTCCTTTTTACAATATTCCTTTGGCCTTTTTCAGTAAGAATTTTGAAGACAATAGAGTCAAACTGTTAATAATATTCTTGCATTGGAAGTATCAAGCCCAAATCTTAACTAAACTGAGTTTACATCCTGATTCTGTCACTTACCAGTCATGTGATGTTGAACACAGTAATTAATCTAAGCTCAATTTCTTCATCCATAAAAATCGGCACAACAATAGCATCTATCTAACAGGGTCACTGGAAAAATTGTATGAAAGATGATGTAAGAAAAACACTTAGCATAATTTAGCTACTCATGTTGGTAATACTACTGCTGCCAATAATAATACATATAACTAGAGAAATAATAATCACCTCCCTGGAAGTAAAACACTTACAAATTTTGGCTAAGTTCTCTTTCAAAGGAATTTTTGCCATTGAGGGAAATTTTGTTTCTACAAAATTTTAAGTGTTTCACTTCTAAATCCAGACAAATTTGCATTCCCTACATGATCTTGAAGTACTGAACTCACAATGAGTATTCATTACCACTTATTGTACCCCTACTAAGAACTAATAAGTACTTTACTTGGTTCTAGATTAGCTATAGTAAAACCCCAAACAAAAGGGAAAGAAAACTGAACAGGTTCCAAAAATAGTTTTAGTTTTTATGGAGATGCAAAAACCACAAAGATAAGGATATGGTTCCCTGGGAATATTTTCCTTCGGCCAAGTATCATTTGGAGAAAAACAGGGGCTAACACTGCAGGTAAGGAAAACACATCCATATATACAAGAAATTTCAATTCGGAACAGCTTCTGAGCAACAATTACAGTAATAAAATGTTGCAATCTTTATATGGAATGTATGATGCAAAGTCTCATGTACTAAGGAGGATGTTTTGAAGCCTGTTAAGTTGTGCAGTTACCTAACAACTGGCAAGCAGAAGTCTCAAGAAATAAACCCACAAGAGCCCAAACTTGTTTCTACTGTTGTCTCTTTTATTCTATTTTTGTTACAGGTTATGTGATTTTAAGAAGCAGAAAACATTTATGATTATTATATTTTTACCTTTCCTTCTTTCCTTCATTTTTTCTCCTCCCAACTTTTTAAGAGCTCTAAGTGAATAAATTACAGTTGTTCTTAAAGAACTAGAGACTTTGAAAATATACTTTCAGACAGCAAAAAATAAAACACATGTGTACCCTAAAGCCTGATGACTACTTGGGGGCTAAGAGTTTTTCACATTTAAAGGTCAGGATAAGAAATAGGTCTTACTTATCCTGACACTGAAGTGTAACTAGATTGAACAAAGCGATTTTATAGCCTAAAGATGTGATGGCTCAGTCACCTGCAATGTCTGAGCCACCTGCAAAGTCTGCCTGCAGTGCAGGAGATGCAATAGACGTGGGTTTGATCTCTGGGTTGGGAAGATCCCCTGGAGGAGGGCATGGCAACCCACTCCAGTATTCTTGCCTGGGAAATCCCATGGACCCATGGAGCCTGGCAGGCTCCAGTCCATGGGGTTGCAAAGAGTCAGACATGACTGAAGTGACTGAGCATAAACACATGCACAGATGACCCAGCTGAGAAAACCTTCTCTGCAGTCCCTAACCCCAAGTTACACATTTAAAACCATTGTTTTTTCTCCTTTTAAAAAACTGCATTCCCGTGACTTATTTATTA